CGTTGTCGACTGGAGCTGCCCAGTGGAATGTAAGGGCCTGGGAGATGCTGACGATTCCTACGTGGGGGCCCCACGTCGGACCAACCGGAGCAGGTCTGAGGGGAGGTGGAAGCCCTGCAGGTGATGCTCACAGGCCACCAGGGCTGAGGACCACCGAGCCTCGGCAGTAACGGGTTTTTAAGCCCATGGGTTAGGTCTCATTAATGTCAATGCATTGATGCAGCACAAAGGAGGACGGTCTCCCGTATGCGCTATAATTAAGTCTCGAATACAATGCAATCACATGCAACAAATGTAATGCATGCAGTGAGTCAATGCATACAAAGCAGGCGATCCATAAATAATGGATTCCTAAGTGAACATCCTACAAAAGTCCATATCAAAGATCCTATTTTGATGAAACTAAGATGTCAACAATTGTAAGACGAAGTATCACTGAGAAAAAAAGATGCCATCCCACATATTACAAGCCGCATCCAAATTTAAGAAATGTTCAAAGTAGGAAAAATAACCTGAGTCTTATAATCGATGAAATCCAGCACTAAAAAATGACTATATTGTCATTTTCTGTCTAGTCCACTCCAACTGTTATATCACTAACGTCCACTAGATGCCGCTGTGACCTGATACTTCAGGTTCCAAACGGAAATGTGAAAACCAGTTTTCTAGGTCTTTAAACTTGCAGTCGTGCGCCCCTTTTACAGACAAAAGACTTTAAAAAACCCCTATTTTCAGGAGCTGTTGCTCATTATTTTCCTTGTATGAAGGCCTATCCGAAGTATCTCCGAAGGTGTAAAGTTGTTTAAAAAGTGAACTGAGCCAAACCGGTTTGGCTCAGTGGATAGAGCATCGGCCTGCGGACTGAAAGGTCCCAGGTTTGATTCTGGTCAAGGGCATGTACCTTGGTTGCGGGCACATCCCCAGTAGGGGGTGTGCAGGAGGCAGCTGGTCGATGTTTCTCTCTCATCGATGTTTCTAACTCTCTATCCCTCTCCCTTCCTCTCTGTAAAAAATCAATACAATATATTTTTAAAAAAGTGAATGAGACGGTTGAATGGTTGATGCAATAGAAAAAGTACCATCACCTCCCTTTCAGCCACACGCCCAGATTTCACACGTGGCTCGTCTGCAGCGGGTTAGAGAGAAGGGACAGGAAAGAGAAGGCTGATGTCCACTTAGACCAAATAAAAAGGGAACCCCGAGGAAAGAGACCACATCTTCCGGGCCGAAGACAGCGATCACGGTCCCCGCACACAGTTCCTGCCCAGGACCCGGCCGCTGGGCGGGAGGGGCCCTGGCAGAGCACGTAGCTCCAGCCCAAGCTCAGTGTGAGCGCTGGGCACCGACCCAGGGCCTCCGGGGCGGAAACCTGCCCACGTTCCCTGGTGGATGAGACTCGCTCCCCCAGCGAAGTGAGAGGCGGCAGGGCCCACGGGAAGCGGAACTCTGGCTGCGCACGGAGCCAGGCCACACAGACCGCCCCTCTCCGGGGAGAGCAGAACCTGAGAGCAGGCCCTTCAAAACCTGGATCGCAAAGGACGGATTAATCCTGTTGGGTAAATCTAACAAAAAGAAACCGGGCTTGCATTTTGTACGTCTTTATTCCTTATTTCATTCTCTAGCAGCTGCATATTTCTAGCATTGTACAAAAGTACGGGTCCATACGAGACGGGATTTTTTGAAAGTAGCCTTTCACCCCGAGAGTGTGGGGAGCATTGCAGGAGGCCTGCCCTGAGCTGTGGGGGAGTGAACCCTGGAGCGAGGACCGTACGAACCCCTCCCTGTAGTGATTTCCAAGTGGACAACATAGGAAAGGCCGAACGACAGAGCAGTTTGTGAAGACGGGGTGACTGGAGGGGGAAGGAATCCTAAGAACAGCTCACGTCGGGGAGCCCCAGCCTCTCACCTGAGAGCACCCCCCCCCAGCTCTTCAACACTCAGAGACCCTGTGCCATCACCCCCAGCGGCTCCCCTTGCCCAACACACACACACACACACACACACACACACACACACACACACTCATTGGGACGGGATGGATTCATGTGGCCGTAGTGAAAAGAAACTATTGCCCCAATCGGATAGATTTAGCTTCAGAAGAGAAACGCAGAGGCCGTCCGTAACTGCACCCTTCCTGGCGGGGCCGCCCCCATGGCGGGCCGGGGTGTGGGGGGCTCCTCACGTGCCCCGACTTCCATTTTCCGATACCTGAGTTGGCCACTTGCTTTTTCTAGAAGATGCCTGGTGGCACTACCCTGCTGTTGGGCTCTTGTTTTTGGAAAGCAGTTGGGTGATAATGATCGAAATGTGAATTGTGAACGCTCTTCCACCCTCGCTGGAAAGTCATCCCATAGTTACACTCTTCAAAGCAAGCAAAGGCACACGCCACACAACACCCAATCCTCATGGACTATTTGTGGGGGGAAACACTGGGTGAAAGCTCAATGCCCTTCACTAAGAGGTTCGTTAAGTCGCGGCCCCCATGCGATTGAATAGTCGAGGCCCCCATGAGATTGGAAGGTTAAATGCACCTCCAGGCGCTAATGCGGAGGGGTCTGGGCACGGGGCTCAGTGTGGGCCTGTCTGTGTGAGAAGGAAGCAGAGAGCCCGTCAGAAGCGCTGTATGTAGGAGCTGCTCACAGTGTCATCTCTAGGAACTGGAGCTCAGGGTCAAGGCTGGGGAGAAGCACTTTCATTTCTAATATCACTCCCTTCTAGACCATTTTGACTTTTATTGATTTCAGAGAGAGGAAGGGAGAGGGAGAGCTAGAAACATCTGCGATGAGAGGGAATCATGGACCGGCTGCCCCCTGCACGCCCCACACTGGGGATGAAGCCCACAACGCCGGCATGTGCCCTGACCGGGTCCTGGTTCATGGGTCAATGCTCAACCACTGAGCCACACTGGCCTGGCACCATTTTGATTTTTTAAGTAAAACTATTCATTAATTTATTATGGAACAAAGTACATATTGTGGAGCATCAAAACTTACAAGAAATGGCAACAGTGATCAGCCAGTCGAAGGTGAGGACCTGAACCAGGGGGTGGTATAAAATAGTTGTGCTCTAAGGTCAAGAGACACGGAAAAGAGAAGCCACAGCTCCGGGACGGCTCTCACCCGCAGTGAGTGTTGTTAGCAGCGGGCAGCCCCACCTCAGGGGGCCCGGGGCTCAGCGGGGGGAGCTGGGGGAACCCCAGGTTCCGGGCATCCTGGCCTACCTGGGTGCCTCACTGCCCTGTGGGACG